GACATTTGCCTGAACAAGACTTTTCCACCTTCCTGTGTGTGTACGCGTGTGCGTGCGTGCGTGCATGTGTATGTATGTGTGTGCATGTGTGCGTGCGTGCGTATGCGTGTGTGTGTGCGCGTGTGTGTATTTGTGCGTGCGTGTGCGTGTGTGTGTGTGTGTGTGTGTGTGTGTGTGTGCCTGCATGTACTGCAGGGAGGTAAGTAAGGGTGGCAGAGACACAGCATCTGGGATCCTGAGGGAGGGATGAATTCCCGGCCGCAGGAGAGAGAAAGCTGGGGTGTGCTAGGAGGATGGGATGAGCTGAAAGAAGCTGCAGGAGGGGGCAGGGTGGTAAATGAATTTCCATGAACATGAACTCTCTGGGTTGATATAACGCCCCCCCTCTGCAGACCCCAGACTCTTCCCAAGGGGAGCTGAGGATACCAGATATTCAAAGCAGCAGGAGGCTGAGCCCCCACCCCACCACCCCACCCCCGCCCCCAGCATTGCCTGCTCTGGGGTGGCCACAGGGAGGGGCCCAAGGGACCAAGACCAACTGGGAGGATACTGTGAGCACCAACTCCTGTCCTGCTCCCCCCACACCCGCCCGCCTGCCCCAGCCTGCTCCTCCTCCTTGTGGCCTTGTCTATGAATGGACTCCCAGTTCTCTGGCCCGGGGCGCCCCTCCAAGGCAGCAAACCTGGGAGACACTCCGAGCGAGCCCCACCTCATTTTCACTCCTCATTCCTCCTCCACTTCCCATCCCTTCCCATTCAGGGCGGAAGATGGTCTTTCCTCCTTTCCATTCCAGTGACACAACCTAGAGAGGGCCCTCATCCCCGGCCATGTCGGCAGGCCCCTCATCCCCACAGCACCTCCTGCTGCCTCCGGACTGAGCTTCCCAGGCTGACAGCTTCATTCTGCGCCCATCCATGCCAGGCCCTGCCAACACACCACCCTGGATGGGCTTACAGCTGTGTCGCCTCCTACTCCAGAATTTTCAATGACTCCTTACTCATAGACGGCGCCAACAAATGTTCACTGATTGCGTTTTACCAAGTGTAGCCTCCAAGGTACCTGCAGTCTGCCCCCACCTGTCTTGAATCTCGACTCATCTTTCACCCATTACCCACAGCCCCACTGCCCTCCCTCCAAACACACCACTTCTCAATCTCTAGGCTCCTTTCATAATTTCCAGCCTCTCCTGCTGCCCCAGTTCCATGTTTCTACCTGACAAGATCCTAACCATTCTTCAGCGTTCAACTCAAACATTCTAGATTTCTCCTCTAAAGCCAGAAGTCGTTTTACCACCTCTGTGTTTCCAGGTAACATGCTGTTTGTCATTCTCTGACAGCTCTCGCACATTCTGTCCCATGCGATAGTTGTCCTAAATTATCTTTCATCTCTTTCCAAACTGTAAGCTCCCCATGGGCAGAGACCCTTTCTGATGTCTGTATAATTTTTCAGTTTGCAAAGCACTTTCATATGTAATATCTTCTTTAACCTTAAATGCTAAAGGTCAGTATTTTAATATAATAATTTAGTTTTTAGTACCTTTACAAAATAATACATGCTATTGCACAAAATAAATAAGAGGGAGACATTTTAGGTTAGTTTCTATAATTCTATAATTCAAAGATAACCACAGTTAATATGAGGAGTGAAAGTCTTCTTAAAAAGTGTCATACTCTACATACTGTTCTATAACCAGCCTCTCATATTTAGCAACATATCATAAATACTTTTATATATAAGGGAAATAGATACTATAATCTTAGTGGCTATATGGCATTCCATTTAGGGATATACTAGAATTACTCAGCCAAATTTCTATCATTGCTGTCATTAGTTCCAATTTTGGTTATTATAAACAAATAATGCCTATTCTCGTAGCTGAGATTTGCTCCAGATTTGATTGCTGTCTGGGGATAAGTTTTTAGGTGTGGAGCTGCTAAATATAAAGGTATGTTCATTTGAAAGAAACTTTACAAAAAAAAAAAAGAAAGAAACTTTACAAATTAGTTGCAGGAAGTTCCCACAGTTTACGAGGTCCTCTCTGCATGTGTGAGAGGCACCTGTTTTCTGCTAGGTGGTTGGTCCCATTTTACAGGTGCGGATAATGAGGCTGAGGAAGGTCCAGCACTGGGCTTGCTGAAGAAAACAGCCAGCAAGTGGCATGTTTTCTGACTCCAGACATCTTATTCTTCCAACCTCCGCACTTCTCTTTGCTCTTGTGTTTCACCAATCCAAGGGGAGCACCTGTAGTAATCAGTGTGAAGTAAATGCTGAGCTCCCAGAGAAGAGGGCAGAGGTGAGATGCCCTGAGTGGTGGGCAGAGCCATGCCCTGAGTGGTGGGTGGGGCCACTCCTGGGAGCTCTGTGGGTGCCGCCTCCCCTGCCTCTTTTCCCCGCCTCCTTTCCCAGGATGTCTGAGGCCTACTTGGCGGATGAGTTTCGTCCCTGGGTAGCGTTTTGCTATCCCCTCTACCCCTTCTCCCGGTCACGCTCTGCTTTCCAGGAGGAGCTCACGGTCTAGAAGCTAAGGAAACAGTTGTACCCTGAGATACCCAGATGGCGCTGCTTCTGGCTGTCGGCTTCATCGTCCCCTCCTCTGCTGCAGCCTACAGTGGCAGGGGCAGGGGACAGAGTCCAGGTCAGGGTTGTAGACGGAAGAAGTCCTGCCGGCCTGGTGTGCCCTTGGGCCTCTGAAAGCTGTTGTCCTCTCTGGCACTGAGTGGCCCGGAGCTCCCTGCCAGTGTCCAGCGGCATTTGCATGCCTTTTTGTCCACCTTTCTGCTCCACCCCCACTTCAAGACAGCACCTCACGGAGGACCTGGAGCCCTTCAGGAATCACACCATATCAGGGGAGAGAAGCCAACCGCGCTCCCCACCCAGGGACTAATAAAATGCACATTCGAGAGAGGAAGGACGATCCGAGGTGACACCGCACACCCCCACGCGGAGCACGCTTCAGGGCTACAACGTACCTAGATTCCTCCTTCCCCAGAACTGAGAACTACC